TCTAAAATCTACAAAGGGCCTTAAACTCTAATATCAACCTTGGGCCTAAAACGCTTTCTTGATAGTTGTGACAGAACCCACAGGCATAACACCAGACACAACATCTCTACGACATTCCCCGTGTCCGACTAAACCTTTACAAAAATTCAATGTATGTCAAAGGCCCTAAATCTGGAACACCCACCTGAGAACCTAGAACTGCAGACACATTCATCACCTTCAAAACTACCATTAGAAAACATCTTATCTCCCTGTACACCCCGTCAACTAACTACACAAACAAAACCCTGGTGGTTCACACTTACACTCGCTCACTCATTTGACCATAAACAGAAATATTAATCTCAGTCTTAAAATAATGAATTCCAGTGATACACCATACTGAAACTATATACTGTGCCAAAACAAAAACATTCACATTGCTAAACTCATATACTAGTATTAAGATCACTTAAGCCATAATACCACTTACCTCATATTTGTAATATATTACAATTAAGAATAAAACTAAGTATGCCCCGAAATGCCTAGGCCATGCTAAAGCATTCTAGTGGAACACTCTGTAATCAGACAATTTTTACTACATGTAAACCAAACAACCATAATTTCTGTAAACCTCACATTGTAACCTTTATAGAGAATAAACTTTGAATTGAATTGAATTTGAATCCTCCCTTTGAGCACCCTGAAGAGGACCTCGTACATTTGTGCCCAAAGATCATCTCAAAACGGACTATACCCTGTAGCCTCCTTTTGCACTGTCTCCTCGTAGTGAGAACAGCAACAAAGGTAGTGATTCACAACCCAGTCTGTTAGGAAAAGTGCAATGCAAAAGTATCTCATCATAGTTTTTAACTTCTGATGGAATCTTTCCAAGGCGCCTTGTGGACTGCTGAAGATAGGCATTGGATAAGTTCCTAGATATCCCAAACACCTAGTTAATACTTCCCAAATTCTTTGGCATGTGAAGTTAAGACACCTTTGATCACTTTTGATAGTTTTAGGAAGCCCAAAACAAGAATGAATTTTGTTAAAGCTTTTGAGAATAAGCTTTAGTATTAATACTACGGATGGAAATTGCTTTTCAGGATATCGGTTACTTATCCATAATCGTAAATAAATAGTGATTCCCGACTTTGAACCTAGGTAGTGGACCTACACAATCTATAATTGAAATTCTGCAAAAGGTCTCCATCAGCAGTATAGGATGGATAGGTGCAGGTTAAGTGGAATGTCCAGTTTCCCTACTGCTGACATACTCGCAAAACACCTAATAGATTCTTCACATTTCTTTACATTTTGGCCAATAAAAAATTCTTTTGTGATTCTATACACGGTTTTTGTAATTCCTAAGTGACCTCCTAATGACGTATAATGAGTCATATATTTATATTAGATTGTCTAAACTTGGGTTGGAACCACTAACCTGTCATAACATTGCCGGCACTCTATCTCCTTACCAGTCTCAGTGCAGATCAAATAATCTTTTTAAAACTTCAATACTTGACCGGATGACCCAAAGAGGATTTCCCATGGCTGCCTCAAAAGCGAATTTTTTAAAGAAGGGACCTATTCGTTGTTCCTCCCGGAAGGACAGTCCTCGGCATGGAAACATAACAACTGGCAATCCTGCAACCTGGAATAGGAAGGCTTGATCGGGTCTTGGTTCACATTGATTTACGAGGCATCTGGCCGTGTGCCTCATAAAAGACCAACGTGCTATTGAGATCGAGTCGCGCCAAGGATAGGTCAACATTCTCTCCAACAACCCTTGGGATGTTGCCCGATAATGGCAACAACCGGATAAGAATTAATCATAATATTCAGGATCCGAACTAACAGTAGTGATGTTATTACCCAGTAATAACTGGCATCTTTCATGGAAATCCTTTTGATGACACCTACAGTCAAGTTACCTTTGTAAAATTTGCACTGTACTGTAAATTTTATGCACAGGAACAGAATATATAGCTCCTACCAAATGCTTCCAATAAAACAGAGGAATTCAAGGAAGTGTTCTCTGAAAAGGGTAATATTCCTTCTCTCTTACAAGTGAGGCAATATGCTCCAGTATCTCTAAAGTCTTTAACCATCAGTTGTTTCTGAGTTTTCCTGAAGGTAAATAAGAATCCTTTGCAATAATAAGGGCCATATACTTTTTCCTCCATCTCTAGGGACATGTTTACTAGGATATTAGAGATGTTTCCCAAAGGTTGGGGGTTGTATGGGGGCAGTTGGGACGTGTGACCTAACTTTTGTTTACATAAGAAGCAGACGACAATGCGATGGGCCCGTTTACTGTTGGGGGGCCCTGCTGACGTTGCAAATGGTGTCGTTCAGGGCTGTGTCTCCTCCTGGATACTGTTGTCGAGTGCACCAAGAGTAAGTTTGCCTCTCCGCAGGTGGACCATAAGTATGAGAAGCGTGGCTCACACAGTTGACTTAGTTGGCTGAACATAACGTTCACCCTCCGGCTGGCACTTCATTCTCCAAGGTTGATGATCTCTGCTCATACCATGCTGTTGAAAAAGAGAGACTGGACGCTCGGACAAGGAGCGGTTTAGTTTTCGAAGGTATCACCAACCTGCTGCCTTCCAAGCATTGTTAAGTCCACGAACCTGCATAAAAAACCCGAACCTCTGGTCCCACAGACTCCAGCAGGAGAATCACTCAGAATAAGCTGTACTCAGCTCCTCAAAGGTAGAGAACAAAACCACTTGCTTATACCCGCTGTAAAAGACTTTTGGTTTGCTTCTGTTCTCACAAAGTACAATAGGGATTGACCAGCAGCCGCCTGCTTTAATTTAAAAAGCTTACTATTTGGCTGGATACATGTATAATGCCTCCCCAACACTGAGGTCTTCACTACTATGAAAATCAGAAAATTCAGCGTCCATTTAATACTGACGGTAAATTCCTGTGCCTTCACCCAATAAAGCTTATGGAACCAACGATGCCCAAAAGCTGTTCCAGCCCCTCAAGGCTCGAGCCTGATTTTCGAAGCTTTCGAAAAAATTTTCGGTTTCGTCCCTCATTGCGAATCGGGGACCAAGCCTGTACAGCTTTTGTAAACTAAAATCATTTACACACGAATGCCGAAAAACTGCCCATCACAACACATTTTTCCTTGTCAACCGTATCACTAATCAAATTCTCATTCCCTTAGGCTAATGCTCTACTTGTTCCTCTAGTTTGAGCTCCAAGATATGATTTTTGCCCAACAAGCGTCAAGAGGTGCCAACGACGCTGATTCACCCTGAGAACAACCCAGCTGCACTATACTGACACCATATTTGCTCCGTAGTTATCATCTTCCTCCTAGCGAGAACATAGGAGCTCTTTGGTGCCCTAAGCTCCCGTAGGGGAGGAGTCCTGATGTGTCACCTTCTTCTCTCGGAAGTTTGTCATCATTCATGAACGAGCAGTTGCGCAGAAAATGCTGTGAGAGTGCAGTTTGAGTATTTAATGCCAATGGAACGAGCAATTTGCCAACAAACGCTGTAGGGATAATTTAAGGTAGGATACGCAAAGTATAAATGCCCGACAAACCCAGACGTCTGAACTCGTCGAGGTGGCATCAGTTATTTCCGCTATGCACGTACGATTGCAGAATACACCCAACGTAACACGTTAATTGGCAGGAACACGCTTCTAGCTATGCACATAACGAACTGCTAGAATAGCATACAAGCAAAGCCGACTGAAAAATTCTCCACACCTAACAGGCTAGTACCAACTGACGGGGACGCAAAATATTGTAAAGCATAGCAAATGGTAATGCAATGCCACACAGCAATCTGCACATGTTCCTGCTACGAGCTTCACGCCTAAGACTCAACCGATTCTCTAAGTCCTAGCTCCACTCTCGGACAGGCTACCCCTATTACAACCCAGGAATCCAAATGCCTGTTATCTATCCCGTGTAAAGTGGAGCAAAATAAACAAAGACAGAAAAAGTTTAGACTATATTATCCTTGCAACCATTTTAGAACAGCAACATATTACACTTATGATACAGTCTGAATAATATAGTGGCAACTCCACAGCAACAAGGCAGAAAATAGAAAAGCCAATCAAGGTCGCAGAACCCGTGCTTCAACCACTCTAGCATGGAATGACGAAGGGCAGACAGGAGAGCGTACCCACATAACCTCTGCCTCTGCCATTGCCAAAACCATATCTTCTTATTGAGGCTAGAACCTTGTTCACGTAGTTGAACGACGCGGGCCGCCATCATCAACTCTTAGCAACCTGTTCGCAAGGTTGGGGAGAGATAGCCTGTAAATGAGGGTGTGTACATGCGCCGAATAAAGTGTTACGTACTCTAGCATTCCACAACAAGGAATGTCTGAACATGATGGCTCACATCCACCATTTGAAACTCAATCCACACCCTAACCACTCGATATACCCTAGGTCTAACAATCAATGATCATTGTCACGGTGGTGGATTTAATACACATACCGCTGAGACACTTCAATACATACATACTCTCCCCTTCGTACGCATGCCTATAAACTGTGGTCTGCCATCACCACTTCATAACCACCAACATACATTGATGGTAATTAGCATCTTATAATATATATCACCCTGAAAACCCTATATAAAAAAACCCACCAAAAAATAAATTTACACATTGTTCCTTCCTTTTGACGTTATTTACATTTCCAGAATTATCTATACATCACACCCCACGGAAGGAACAACATTAGACATCAAAAATATTATGACATGTTTTTTTTGCATGACCTGCGTTGCAGAGGTTGCTTCACCCCTCCCCCCCCCCAAAGGGAAAAAACTGTCTAGTTTCACCGGGCTAACACAAGATCAAAAACTATTCCTTAATCATATAAATGAATTGGAAAAACATCTGCACAAATAATAAGCAAAAAACACCCCAGGCAAGATTTACATTATGTACACAATACCAAAAACGTGCCACTATTAAAAAAGAGCAGAATGCCCATTATTTAAATTAGCACAACTACTTTTGTACTTGCTTTGGGCAGTAATTTATACTAAAATTTGGGAACGATCAGAGAAGATTAGCATGACCCCTCAAAAGCAGGGACCGCAAAATTGTGAACGTCCCACATTTTTTGGATTGGGCTTACAAAATATAGTAAAAAAAGGGGAGTTTTGGGGAGTTCATGCATTGGAGGTTTTGGGAGTAAAATATCTCTTGGGACATACTTTAAAAAAAGGGGCGACTAGCGTGTGCAGGTCAATGGTAGTTGGGTGTGCCAGTTAGAGGGTCGGGGTTTGAGCAAGGTTTTTGCCCCCTTTCAAATTTTTTGGGGGTTTCTGTCCTTTTTTTTAGTGCGGTGCGGGCTAATTTTGGGGGGTTTTGGGGGGTTATGAGAGTGAGGGGTGGCCGGGGTTTTGGGGTTATAGATGATCATCGGTCTTGGTAGGGGGGTGGGTAACTTGCAGCAGGGGGAAGGAATCGTGGACGTTTTTGGGAAGGCGCGGGATGGAATTAATGCCACGAAACAATTTCATGGCTGGGAAATTGGGACCAAATCGGGGGGATGGGGGGTAGGGGGAGCATGGGGGACCATTTAAAGATATGGGGATTGTGTATGTGGGTTTTGTGATCCATTGAGCACGTGTTTTGAATCGGTGGGGGGCCGGGATAGCTGTTAAAAGATTAGGACGAGGTCTGCAAATCTCCGTTGCACCAAAGAGAAAAACCGATAAACGTACAGTTATATATAAATTATGGCATTGGGGTCATGAAACCCGAAAAGCGCCAAGAGGCACAAAATTTTTTTACTAGGGTTTTTTGGTTCTTTTGGGGGATCGGGCGTGATATTAAGCAAAAAGGAATTACTTTGCCGTTGGGTCAAGGAGGGCTTGGGTCAACCGCTGGAACGAGGAATAGGTATTTATGGAAACGGGTCTTCTGGGGGAGGTGGGAAAAGGGGGGGATCGAGAAAGTGTATTTGGCAAAACGTTGGTGGGGGGGGAAGGATTTGCACGGGGGAGGAAATGTTGAGATTTTTGTTTGGGGCGGGAAAATCCACTTAATCAAGCTCGCATAATCGAGGGTGGGGGGGGGGAGTTGGAGGTGGCGCTGTGGAAAGATACCCATGTAGCCTGGCGTGACATATGGAACGTCTCCAAAAGTTGCACTTTTGTCCGGGGTTACAAGATGTATGTATCGTTTTTTTACACGGGGATTCGCCGTCTGGGATTGTCTTATTTAATCGAAAAGCTCAGGGAAGGCGGGGTGTCGGCGTGTTGTGAAGTAGAAAAAACCTTTTTTTTACTTTATATTTTTTGTGAAATTTGGAGGGTCGGGGAAGGTTTGGAAGGGGGAATTCGATTTAGGGGAGGGGTGGGGGTTGCAGGTATTGCGATGTTTAAGTTTAGACATTGATGGGGGGGGGGCGGGTTAAACACCAGTGGCTATCTGGTAATATTTGGCTCACATCATGGGCAATAAGAGATGTGGGGCGGGTGAAAGAATAAAGGGGCTGGCAGCGAATTTTACGACCTAAGTGCCGCAATCGGGAAGTATAGGGAGGAAATGGAACACTGAATTTTAAAAGGGGTTTTGAAATTTTCGGGAGTGGATTTATGGGGAATTTGGGAGGCCCAAAGGAACAACGGGGTAGCCCCCCGTTCAGAGGCGTGTGGGGGTGATGGGGAAGAAAGGGCAAGGGGAGATACTATGAAAGTTTATAAAAAGGAGGAGTAGGGAAAGCGTATTACAAGTTTTGTAGAACCATTGGGTTTTATTTTAAAGGGTTTTTTTTTTGTCTATGATGGGGCATTGTGGAAACGTACTTTGCAAAAATGAGGGGCGTGATGTGATGTATATATGTGTCAATCTGTACGGATATAACATGATTTTATTTATAAAGTATAACCTGTGGCGAGGGCATGTTTTAAAAAGGGGAATTGTTATGCAGGGTTTTGCATGACATCGTAATGTACATATGCGGAGAAGTGTGCCAAACAGTATGAATGTTGTAAAGAAATAATTTTATATTAATTCAAATGTGCATTTGGGGCACTGTAAAGTACTCTAACTGTTTGGGTACGCGGAGCAAGCGTGGCTTGGGGCAGTCAGGAGTCAGCATGGTGTTGGGGGAGGCTGGTGTCGGAGATGCTGTATATTTAAGCTAAGTTTGTAGTTGTGTACTCCTTTTGTTTAACTAACCTAAGCCATAGCTCTTCTATGGTTTTACCTGTATCCCACCTAGCTCTGACATGGTCAGGGTTGTGTGGGATGAGTGGGGAAATAAGAAATGGGGTTTGGGGAGTGGAGTAGAGACGGCCTGGAGCTGACTAGGCTAGTGGTTATGTGGCTGAACCTCCAGCCAGCTGTTTCTTGTGACCCTCATTTGGGCATTTAGGATTAAGGTGTTTCTAGAATGTGTATATAGTGTTATGTTGAATAAATAATATATTTTCCTAACTGGGGCTGGCGCTCAATCCTCCCATTACAGCTGGGATGATTGGGTGTGGTGAAGAGAGGCTTCACTCCCAGAAGTTGGTATAGATTGTTTCATTAAGTCAGATGTGAATTGTGCCCCAGGGTCAGAAAAAATTTCTTTTAGGATGCCCACTCTGGAGAAGATGGAAAAAAGGGGCTTCAGCCACCTCTGTAGTAGTTATGGTTTTTAAAGGGGTATGGCTTCAGGGCCTCATAATATCTTCCTCTAAAACAAAGATATTAACAAGCAAACGACATCCCCCACCCATCTATTTGCAGGGTGAAATCTTAGCTACGTTAAAACTTACAGATATTTTTGGTGTAGATGTACCCTTTAACAAATCCACTATACCACAACTAAACAAGAAATGCAAAGCTAGGCTAAATGCCTAAAAGCTTTGCTGGCTACAATCCCAACTATGGTGCTAAGTGAGAATCTTTGAGAATGATGTACATAGCCTATGTTAGGTCCTTAATTGATTATGCTGCTCCCATGTTGATAATAGCTAGAGAAAGTTCCCTCCGACCCTTGGGAGTTAATGCAAAATGAAGCTCTCAGGACTATTCTTGGCTGTCCCAATCTACAAAAGTTCTTAACATGAGAAGGAGCTTGGTATTTCTAGAATCAGTGATAGGATTGTTGAAATTAACACTGTACTCGGTATTAGAATGTTGAAAACGAACCGACACTGTCACAGTGAATCTTACCAAGTGTCTAGAGGTAAATACACACAGACCCAAATGGATTGTGAAAACGTGCAATTGCATTAAGTTTTATAACCTGCATGAACTGTACACTGTAGGCAACAAGAGCATTTCACCCCTCCATGGAAGATGTGTTCATTTAATATCACATACCTACAAAAATCCCTCCAAGAAGCTCATTGCTAGTAATCCCTTCCTTAAATCTCTTGTTAGAGCAACTGCTCAAGAAGAAATTTTTCGCCTAGCTGGTAGTAAAAAGTTATCACAAGTTATATACACTGAGGATCTAAACAGGATTTTTCTGGCAGGCTGTATCTGCTCCCTTTTTGCCACCTCCCTAGTTAAGAACGATAATAAATTTGAGATAGGCATAAGAATTAACAACTGGGCGTCTACACTGCAAACTGAATTGTTGCAATCCAATGCCTAAAGCTACCTATGACACTGAGCTTGACTCTATCATCATTACTGATTCTATGTCATCATTGAAGGCTCTTGGCTCATATAATGACTCCAACAACATGCTCATTGGGGAAGCCAGGTATAGATACTCAAAAATTAGGGGCAAAGGAATTAATGTTACAATTGCTATGGATCCCATCACACATTGGATTACTCCTTCTGATAAAGTTGATATGTTTGCCAAGAAGAGTATCCAGAAGGAGAACGTAGAATATAACTTTGGTATAACTTTGTCTAGCATTAGGAATAATATTAGGAGAGAAGTAAATAATGAAGATGATTGTTTTAGGAAAGCAGTTAGAAAACCTGAGTAGATCTATAACCCACTATGATAACATGAACGTAGATAAGTATGTTTTGGAGCAACTTGCAATGTGAACAGACTGACTGATGTTGTAGTGGCCAGGCTTAGGCTTGTTTCAAGTACTTCTGGCAGTTTGGGAGACACACAGATGATGATCAAACTAAATGTAAATTATGTGATCAGGCATATGGTCACTCTCTTGAACACTATGTGCTTAATTGTCCACTTATTGAGGAAATACAGAGACAGACAGTATAATAACCTATGGACATGTCAAATATCTTATTAATGAAAAAAAAGATACCAGATATACTAAGCAAATTTCCTAAATTTCCCTTGTAAACAGATAAGTGAACTATAGAAAATGTAGATATAAATCCATATGTATTCCTGTTAACCCTTTGGGGCCTAGTTCCTAGGCCTTTTGTGTATCCATATGCTCTCGCGCTACCGTCCCAGGATGGATATGGGTGCACAATAAACTAGCCACTTGGGTTGGCCAAAATCTAAAATCTTCAGGGAAACTCGAAGCATAATAAACCCCAAAGTTAATATATATCTATGTCCCCCAGATGAAAGTGGAGATAAAGGACCAACGATGTCAATAGCTACTCTTTCAAACGGTACCGTAAAGATAGGCATTTTGACCATAGGTACTCGCCTGGTACCTCGGGAGGATGCAGTTGGCAAACTTTACACGATCTACAATAGGTAGTGACATCTGAGGACATTTTAGGCCAAAAATAGGTTTCCCCCCAATTTTATTTAAGGTTTTCGGGTGCGAGAAATGTCCGGCCACTGGCAGGTCATGAGCCATTTTAAGAACAGTCTCTCTGCATGACTTGGAACAACTAAGATGGAATAGTCAATCTCCTCTGAATTTAATTTGAATACTGACTTTGACAAGATACCTTTTATATATTCAATTTATTAGAAAAGTTTTTCCTTTGGGTCACTTGATTTTGTTTAGCGGCATTATGGCAATTCTGAAGAGAAGGGCAATTACGTTTTTAAATTGACAAAGGAGTCCTTCGATATATCTAAAGGCTTAAAGTCAGGGGAAAATCAAAGGATGGACAGTATGAGAAGCCTGGCTTTGGTCTGAGCCCCAGTCAAGACATTTATGGTATCGGAGGTGATGTCTTCACTTTCATCTAACAAGGGGAACCGGTGATCCTATTCCTCG